AAATAAGGCCACATTCACAGATACTGGGGTTTAGGACTTCAGCATGTTTTTTTGGGAGGGGGTCTCATTTAAGCCCATAACAGATGGTAATAGCAGGCATTCTTGTCTTGTTTTAAAGGGAATGATTTTAAAACTTTGCTGTTAAGCTTGTTGCTTGCTTTAGATAGCAAGATAATATGCTACAAGTTTGTGCTGTAAATGGATGTTGAATTTTATTTAATGCTTTTTCTACATCTGTTGAAATATTTACAGTTTTTTTTCTTTTACTTTATAAATGTGGAGAAGTAAACCAACAGATTTTATTCCCTTAAACCAATATTGCATCTCAACATAGCCATATTGTATTTTTAAACATACATTGGTTGATTCAGTGTGCTAATATTTAATATTTTTGCATGTTGATTTATGAGTAAGAGTGACGTATGATTTTCCTTTTTCCTGTATCCTTATCTGGTTAGAGTATCAAAGTTATACTTTATACTGGCTTTATAAAATAAAGTAGGATATGTTCGCTCTTCTTTTTTTTTTTTTTTAAGTTCTTAGGAACATTTATTATGTGAAATTGGAATTATGTGATTGACAAATGTTTGGTAGAACTTGCTAGGAGAACCATCTGGACATGATGCCTGCTTTGTGGGGCAGACAGTGTCCACGAAATCAGAATACAGCCAGTGCTCTGCATTGCTCGTAAGTATGTCCAAAGCAGCTCTCCTGGCCTTGGCTGTGTGCTGTGAGATAAGTGGGGCTTCTAGAAGCCTACATGCTGGCATAACAGGCCTCTCAGTAAAGAACACAGAAAAATTTTTTTGAAACTTACAGGTAATATGAAAGTCTGTGGTATCCAGTCAGTGTATAGCCAGAGAGAATGGAATTGTTTTCGAACTGAGTTTTAGGAAACTTACTAAGAAGTCTAAGGGAAGATGCCAAAAGTGACCAATTCTTTTAATAATGGCCACAGGTGCTAACTAAAAGATAATGTTTTTGTGTACATTTGTAGAAAAAAGATTAGTATTTGTACGTTAGCATTTTCAAAGACATGGACTTAGATTCCAGTTATCACTAGCGGCAGTGTCTTTAAGATGACGATGTGGGTATTCTTGTCTGATAGGAAATAGTTACTAACATTTTTATTTTGCCCCTTAGCACACATTGCTTTATACTGTTACTCGTTTATTTTTCTAGTCCTATTTCCTTAATGAGACTGGGATACTTTTGGGAAATGGGACTGTGTCTCATACTTTTTATTTTATTTTTTTGCACTCGTAAAGGTCTTTGCTGTATGTATAATATTTATTTAAATTATGGTCCTTGAATGTACTAGCGTTTTTCAGTCTCTTCCATAACTGGGTATGTATTTTGAGATTTTGAGAAAACATTAAAATGTTGATTTTTTAGCTGGGCATGGTGGCGCTCACCTGTAGTCCCAGCTACTCATGAGGCTGAGACACGGGGATCCCTTGAGCCCAGTTAGCTATTATTGTACCACTGTACTCTAGCGGGGCAATAGACCAAGACCCTGTCTCTAAAAAATAAAAAAAGGTTGATCTTTTAAACTATAAACATGCTTTACATGCTTTTAAAGTACAATGCTAACAAAAAGTTTAAGTTTTAGATCAGTTTGAGATCACACAGTAAAAGTATTAATTGTATACCTTAGAGAAACTTTTTGTTAGCATGTTGATTTCTCTCTGATTCAGAGCCTGGTTAGTTGGATTTCATGATAATACAAAGGTGTGGCCTAAAGTTTATCTTTTTATGATACATATTTTATTTATATAAATATATCACATGAACAAGATCATGGAGAGAATTTTCCCACTGCTTAAAAGAATAGTTTTTAAGTGCTAGCATATTATGTGGTCAGCTTTCATTTACTTCCATGTAATTTTGCTTTACCATTTAAATATTATTATTATTTATTATTATTATTTTTAGAGATAGGGTCTCACTCTGTCATTCAGGCTAGAGTGCAGCGGAATGATCATAGCTCACTGTAACCTCAAACTTCGGGGCTCAATCAATCCTCCTGCCTTAGCCTCTCGAGTAGCTGGGACATAGGTTTGTGCCACCCACGTGTGGCTAATTTTTAAAAAATTTTTATAGAAACAGGGTCTCACTATGTTCCCCAGACTGGTCTCGAACTCCTGGGCTCAAGTGATCCTTCCACCTTGGCCTCCCAAAAATGCTGGGATTATCGGTGTGAGCCATTGCACCTGGCTACGTTTAATTATTAAAGCAGATTTTTTATTTAAATTTCCTCGACTAGGAAATTTATCTTTAGCAACGCTTGAGTAAATATAGTTACCAAATAATGAAACAATATTGCATTTCCTTTTAAATATTATAGAGTTATGACCTTTTAATAAACTACATGCTTTTCTTACAGGTGCTTCTCTGCTCTTCTTTATACCCAGCCAAGGACTTAGACTAACTATGGTGTTTGATGCTTTTCATAATATTCTGTACCGCAAATGTGTTTGGCATACCCCTTATGCTAACTAAAGACAGAGGCTAGAATTATGGACAATACGCTTTTAAGAAGTTAAGAGTTCGATTGTAGGTGCGCAAGGCTTGTTTCTCTATTTCTTCCACAAAGGGAAAGACACAATTTATATTTTAAATGGCAGAATAACTTTATCCTGCCATTTTAAAGGACAGCCCTGATAATAGATCAATCAATGGAGAGAGAAGTATTTTCTATTACTTTTCTTTCACTGACTTAGATGTCTCAAAGCCTACATTTCAATATCTGGGTTTTACTCATTAGCATTTAAATGGAGAAAAAAATACTGTCTAGGTGAGTTTGGGTGATTATGGTCAGTTGGGACAGATAGATGATGGTGTTAAAGAATTGTTTGTGCCAGAAACCGTTTGCAGGACCTGCCAGAGCCCTTCACCCAGCTCTCCCTGGGATTCCAGGAAGTTCCTGAGGCCCGAGATGGGGGACACGATTCCTTCTCTGTGGGACCTTTTAAGCCTTCCTCCTCACTCTCCCCTCCTCTTTTCCGTGGTTTCTGTGAAGATGAGCCCTCTGAGTGTGAGGATGCTGAGGGTGGGGGGACGGTGTGAGAGTGTGTTCCGGCGGGCATTGCCGTCTGTCGCGGGAGGTGAACAAGTTGCCCACATCTGAGGACAGAAGACAGCATTGTTCTGTTTCTTGATACCCAGCTTGGGACATAAAGAACTGAAGTTGGACGGGAGAGTGGGGGAGCAATGGGAGCTGGTCCAGACTGGGAGGGAATCATAGTTAATGATGAGATCAAGCACTTTTATTGAGTGTTGTGTGCCAAATGCCAAATGATATAGTAAGCATTTTACACGAGCTGATTTACTTAACCCTGAAAACAATCTATGATATTGGTGCTGTTATTATTATACCAGTTTCACAGATGAGGACGTTGAGGCTGGAAAAGCCAAGTGTCATAGTCTGCCTGAGCTGCTATAACAAACTACCCTAAACTAGGTGATTTATAAACAATAGAAATTATCTCCACTCACAGTCCTGGAGGCTGGAAAGTCGGAGATCGAGGCAGGGCAAGTTCGGTGTTTGGTGAGGGCCTGTCCCTTCTAGCTGCCTCCTCCCATGGTAGAAGGAACGAACAAACTCCCTTGGGCCTCTTTGATAAGAGCTCTAATCCCATCCACAAGAGCTCCACTCTAATGGCCCAGGTACCTCCTGGATGCCCCACCTCCCAACACCAGTTTACTGGGGATTAAGTTTCAACATGTAATTTTTGGAGGGGCACAAACATTCTGACCATAGCACCAAGTAGTTTTTGCTTAAGTAATGGGAAGAGACAGGAGGGATGATGTGTCCTCATCCCCAGGCCTGGGGTACCCTCCCGCATGGAGATTTTGTTTGCCCAGGGAAGGGGGCTGGAGTCTCACTCGTGTGCATCTGTTGTTGCTCCAGTGGACAGGGGGATACAAGAAATTGCCGAGTTCTAAAGTCTTTGAGTCGAAAGGCACCGGAGAGATTATCTGATTCCTCCCCTTCCCGGATGTATGAATCTTTGTTGAATATTTCTGAGAGATCTTCTTGCCTTTTCTGGAATGCCTCAAAGGATTAAGGAACTTAATCTCTCATGAAAACCCTATTCCATTTTTGGGCAGCTTGCAGTGATGAGAAGGCTCTCTGACGCAGGCCCGGCCAGTGTCCCTGTGACTTCCATCATTCTCCTCAGTCCTCTCTCCCGGATCCCCTGCTCTGCTCCCTGTGAGTCTGCCTCCGACCACCTGAGAAGTCAGGAGAGGCCGTCTCGCCTGGTCTGCTGCCTCTGACCATAGAGTGAGAAACCAAAGTCCTCTCCAGAGGGTGGGTAGGAAGCCAGGGGTTAGCATGTGGGACAGCCTCTCCTCCTGTGGGAGCCAGGGACTGGCTTGCAAATCTACCAACTCGCACCTGAAAGATTTGGGAGGTCTGAGACATACCTTTACTGCTCGACATGAACACGTTTACTCAGGAGTTGGGGCCAACACGCATGCCTGGCTGGGAAGAATACAAAGGAACTCAAGACACAGTTCCTGCCTCAGCATTTCTGGCAGGATCCTATAGTTGCGTCTCACTGTTGACTTAAGCGCACGTTCAGGTAGCTATAGACTGGTGAGGGCCGTTTCTGCCTTTTTCAGAAGTTCCTTTGTTATATTGTCTGTGGGTGAGTACCTGCACCTGTCTCCCGCCATGGGCGTATCTCCCATGGACAGCATAAGGAAGTTCCAGATAACTCTCTGCTCTGGTGGGAAAGAGCATGATGGCACGATCACCGGCACATGTGCGTGTGTGCACGTGTGCGTGTGTGCTTTTCTGCTCGGGTCTCCCGATTGTCTGATGAGGGAGGTCAACGGGGAAATCTTTCTTTCCATTTTTTAAATCAGTGTTGAATGATTTTCTGTAATGGAAATAAATGGTGAGTCAGCGTATCTTTATTGCAACCTGACATGTTTCTGCTTATTCCTTGTTCCTCTAAAATTAATTTTATTTCCCCTTTCTCTCCCCACAGATCACCCGGTAGACATGATGAACATCAAGGCCTTCACGCTGGTCTCTGCCGTGGAGCGGGAGCTGCTCATGGGCGACAAGGAGCGCATCAACATAGAGTGCGTGGAGTGCTGTGGCAAGGACCTCTACGTCGGCACCAACGACTGCTTCATCTACCACTTCCTGCTGGAGGAGAAGACTGTGCCCACTGGGACTGCCACGTTCACTGCCACCAAACAGCTGCACAGACACCTGGGTTTCAAGAAGCCAGTGAATGAGCTGCGAGCGGCCTCGGCTCTCAACAGGCTGCTGGTGCTGTGTGACAACTCCATAACCCTGGCCAACATGCTGAACCTGGAGCCTGTCCCCTCGGGGGCCCGCATCAAAGGGGCGTCCACCTTTGCTCTGAACGAGAATCCCGTGAGCGGGGACCCATTCTGTGTGGAAGTTTGCATCATCTCTGTCAAGCGCAGAACCATCCAGATGTTTCTGGTGTACGAGGACCGGGTGCAGATCGTCAAGGAGGTGTCGACCCCGGAGCAGCCCCTCGCCGTGGCTGTGGACGGCCACTTCTTGTGCCTGGCTCTGACCACTCAGTACATCATCCTGAACTACAGCACGGGCGTCTCCCAGGACCTGTTTCCCTACTGCAGCGAGGAGAAGCGGCCAATCGTCAAGAGGATAGGGAGACAGGAGTTCCTGCTGGCGGGCCCGGGAGGGCTGGGTGAGGAGGATGCGTTAGCGCCCTGGTTTTCCTGGGGTGGTCTCCATGAACGCACACTGAAATCAGAGAGGGAGATTTTAGCTGTGCACAGTAAATACTCATGAAGAGTATTGGCCAACATTGAGAATGCGTGGCAGGATAGTGGCAGAAGTGCATGAGCAGGGTTTGCTAAAATCCTGTTTGATTGTTTTGGCTCCTGCATGGTGACATTCTGTTTTTTTCCATTCCTCTTTCATGTTAATATATTATGGTTGAGCAGCCCTAATCTAAAAATCCAAAATCTGAAACTTTTTGACTGGTGATACGTCATCACAAGTGGAAAATTCCCCACATAAGTACTTAACACAAACTTTTCCATGTACAGAGTTATTAAAAATGTTGTATAAAATTACCTTCAGGCTATGTGTATAAGGCATGTATGAAACATAAATGGGTTTCGTGTTTACACTTGGATCCCATCCCCAGGATATCTCATTATGTATATGTAAATATTCAAAAATCCGAAATCCGTATCACTTCTGATCCCAAGCATTTGGGATAAGGGGTACTCAGCCTGTGTCGGGAATGCTTCTGTGAAGCGAAACTTCTTGGAGGTATTTGGTTACACCAAGTATGTTGTATCCAAAGGCAGGAGGAGGCAGTTTTCAATAGTGGAGGTCCCTTCTGTCTCCTGGAAATGACTTTCTAAAAAGCATTGTTAGAACTCACGGATGTGCTTGGTTCCTTCGGTGCCCAGTGGAAGCTCATTCAGGTGGACTCCCGAGTCCCTCCGACATGTCCAGGAATCTGTTAGTGTCCCTGGCTGCTGGCATGTTCCCACCTCACCTAGTGCACTTCCTGCCCTGGGTCTGGTTTCAGCCGTTTCTCCAAGGAACGCTGATGTTTGCAGACCATACCCTGCGGACTAGAGGTGCTTGTTTGCTATTGTTTCTAGCCCTTTTCAGTGGACGGTGCTGGGAAGTGTGTATTTTTTAACGATAACTCCGCAGTGAGATCACGTTGATAGAACCAGTCCGTCAGCGTACCTGTGCCTCCTTTCAACCACACTAAAAATCTTACTCTCCACCATCCAACATCATTCTTCCTTTAATTTATCCCACAGTGTATAAAACGGAATAAGAATACTGACACTACTGTTCCCACAATGTTAATTACTGGAAAAAGTCTGATGATTTGTGGTTCTTTTTGTCCTGAGGGTATTAGGAATATACAGTCAAATTACTGTGCTTTAAATTCACTTGGAATAGTTCCCCTCTGTGTGGTTATGCCACCAACTGGATATACAGTTAGATTGGTTTGCTTTATTTTACTTTTCAATTTTTGGACATTGCTTTAGTTTATTTAT